TTTAGTTTTCATCTTTGTCTTCTTAATTTCAATTTTTAAACTTAAAAATGCCACTTTGTGCTGAGGATAGTTATGGTCTGGTTCTGGATGCGCTAGGATAACAGTACTACAGGATGACCGTTTTTTGAATTTGGGAAACCGGAACCTACAGTTGGACAAGCTCCAGGAAGTTCGAATTGTCCAAATTTCTGAACGCACTGCTCGAAGAAGAATTAAATTGATTTGGGCTGATGGCTTTTCGCACCGTAAGAGGACCAGAATTGACCAGATCACAGAGTTGCACAGCTCGCATTTGCTCGAGAACACAACCATTGGTCTTTAAACGATTGGTCTGCTGTACTTTTTACAGATGAATGTAGATTAGCCCTACAATTTCCAGATGGGCATGAAAGAGTGTGGAAAGGCGACATGAAATATACGAAGCTTGTAATTTTTCCCAGAGACAACTTTTTCAACGTATCTCCGTGATGGTGTGGACAGGATTTCAATGGAGAGTCGCACAGAGTTGGATGTTGTTTGGAGGGTCTTTGACGGCCACTCGCTATTTGGATAAAATTTTGGAACATCATGCGTTGCCTATCCTTGATGAAATCAACGACAATCCTATTCCAATGCATGATAATGCCCGTCAACATGTCGCTCGCTTTATGGAATGACCTCAAAAGACGATTTCAATGGAGAGCCAGAGTTGGTCGTTATTCGTGGAGCGTCTTTGACGGCCACTCGCTATGTGGACCGTGCGCTGTCTATCCTCCACGAAATCATCAACAATTCTAGACAATTGCATGATAATACCCGTCCACATGTCCCTCGCATACTACAAGCGTACCTTCAACAGTATAATTTCAGGGTCTTAACCTGACCAGCCCGTTGTCCAGACTTAAACCCCATCGAACATTTATGGGATAACCTCAAAAGACGAATAAGAGCACGTTCATCACTTCCTGATACACCCACGATCTTGAAAAGACTCTTCGTGAAGAATGGGTTAACCTCCAGCAGAGACATTGGTAGAAAGTATGCCGAGGCGTCTTCGAGATGTAATTGAGGCAAGAGGAAGAAATACGCGCTATTGAAATGTTAGTTTTTAAATTATGATGGTTAAAAGCGTATTGCCGCGTTTCATCTGATTGGTAAAACTGAAGCGTCATCGGTTATTTCTTATCAGTGGGAAAACAGAAAAATGTCAATATTAACTAATTATCATACAACGAAGTGCACGTCATTATGTAAATAGCGCTTTAGGCATTAATTGAGATATTTTAATAAGCGAGCTATATTAGGTCTGGCGCGTATCGTAAAATCCGGCCGAGATGCCAACTCAGAACTGAAATTATCTCATAAATCTGGAAAAGGATTATCCCATCAAAAACCTAACCGTGAAAAAAGGGCAAAGTTCCAAACCCCTTCCAAATAAAATTATCCTACTAATGTAGGTAATGATTTCTACACTGTGGGCAAGTAGGTTTTTTTTAGTTCATAACCTGAGAGAACTCAATGTAAAAAATAAAAGTTCCATACTATCGCCCAAAAAAGTCAGCCTATCACAATAGTGATATCTACATAGTGGCCAACCTCACTTCTTTCCTACTTTTATGAGCAAAACTTATTTTATTTTTATTAAATTCACTAATTTTCGTGGTCCGCTTGACCAATTAATATCTTCCAATTAATTAAGGTTTTTAGTTGAGATAAAAAGTCAGTGTCAAGAGCGGGACTCCAACCCACGATCCTCGGCTAGATACGCCGCTGCTCGACCACATGAGCTCTCCTGACCTCGATCCACTCGGACACTAACTTCCCATCTCAACCCCACCTTTTGAATTTTCCCTCCTTTTTGCCATCTTTTAAATTTCGTGTAATCTATTTGATTCTCGGCGACAAATGAAATGGCCACTGAGAGGTTTAGTGAAGGTATACTTCATTTTAACTTATTAAATTCATTAGTTTTCGTGGTCCGCTTGACAAATTAGTATCTTAATAATCTAAAAATGTCAATATTAACTAATTATCATACAACGAAGTGCACGTCTTTGACGATGACCTGAACCAAGTTCCGGCAACTTTACTGACAACTGGAGACATGTTGATTTCTTGGATGTGGGACGTTCGTTTCGTCCGAAGGAGAATAAAATAGGGGGTAATATAACTTTTACAAGTGGGTTTGTCAGAGTACAAACAGTACGGTAAAATTTCCTTGAGTGATTATTTAGCGAGGAACACAACTGAACCGACGCATTATAGCATCTTGGTGGGGTGTGCACATCTGCTTGACGCAAGCACTGACCACGCGACAGTCACACAGAGTATATCACAGCAGTATTCGTGAAATCGATAGTTCTGAGTAAGAATATGAGGAAGACATTGAAGAAATGGCAAAGCAGCGATCAGATTGCTTTCAACGGCGAAAAGAAAAATTGGTTTCGTGAAGTGAAGTTCACTAGAGATGTACATACCTGGCCAACATCAAATTAGAAAATGAAGAAAATACTTTCCATAAGGTTGTATTATCCCCGTGCAATCTACCCGATGCTCTGCGATCCCCACTGTCCAGATTTTCGTCGGGTCGCATCGAGTACAGTCAAAGACAAAAGAACGGGACACTCATATTTTTATTCAAACTACATGTATTATGGTCGTTATATTAATTCCAACATACTTATTTTCATATAAACCAAATTAACTGTGATTAAAAATTAATTAGTTTTTATTTAAAAAAATAATTTTAATGGTTTGGTAGAAAATTAATTAAAACACCGGAATACGATTTTTTGATATAATGAATTTAACTACCAATTTATTGTACTCGCTTCGGCGGTACATTTACTAAAATTGGAACAATTTATTACACGGTTTTGCTAATAAAATTTAATTAACAATTTATTTCATAATTTTGCTCGTAAAATTACACCATTTTCGTCGGGTAGCATCAGAACATATTTTTTGCATGGTGCAGTGCATCTTTACTAATAAATATACATTTGTATATAGACACACATATTGACACCCAAACAGTAAATTACCAATATGAAATGGTAAAACAAATAAATATACAACTAAATAAACACACCTAAGAACACACAAATAATTTAATAAATTACAATATCACAGTGTATTTTTCTAAGGTACTAAGTCGTAATAGAGTTTTATAATTAAGCGGTTTTCTATAGAATCTTTTTTTGTAAAGCTCATCTAACATCGTCTTTTTTATATTATATTTTAAACACGACATTATTATATGTTCCAAATCGTGTTTTTCCTACATATTGCATATAGAGAATCCAATCCTGATTACACGACATTTGGAAATTGCAAAAAGAGTGAAAATTCGAACAGTTGTTTGACCAACTTCCTATCTCAACCCCACCTTTTGAGTTTTCTCTCCTTTTTGCCATTTTTCAAATGTCGTGTAATCTATTTGATTCTCGGCGACAAATGAAATGGCCACTGAGAGCTTTAGTGAAGGTATACATCATTTGAACTTATTAAATTCATTAGTTTTCGTGGTCCGCTTGATTAATTAATATCTTTCAATTAATTAAGGTTTTTCGTTGAGATAAAACGAGTCCGAGTAGATCGAGGTCACGATAGCTCAAGTGGTAGAGCAGCGGCGTATCTAGCCGACGGTCGTGGGTTCGAATCTCGCTCGTGACACCGACTTTTTATCTCAACCAAGACCTTACATTAAAAAAAAAATTAATTGAAAGAAGTAACTTGGTCAATTGACCACTAAAACTTAAACAGATTAATATTGCATGTATTTCGACGAATGATTGTCCATTCTTTTTCAATAATATTCCGTGGTTTTATCTTAGCCTGTTTAATGTAGTACACTATCCTTTAGTTAGCCGGTACTGATGAAACCACAGTATTTTGTTAACGGTTGGGTCCATATCTAGATAGAAGATTCCTGTTGATTAAGAACTACGTTTTTTGGTCCCATTTTTCATATTCTTCACTTTTGGCTTTATTTTTGACTGGTATCATAATTTCCAAAATTTCGCCTTTTCGTTCTGATTTTTTTTGCTATTTTATCGACTATTTCGTTCCTTTTTATACCCCCGTGGCCACGTATCCGGTTGAAATTACGCCCAGCCTTTTTTTCGGCATATTTGTGTGCAATTTTCCATATCCTGTAAAGTTAGACATCAGACAAAATTTTTCGATGCTTTTTTATACGAAGCTCTTATGGAGCTCATTCAAAATAAGAACATTCGTCTTTTCCATATTCCATTTTAAAATGCCTTTCATTGACATTCGTATCCCGACATTCTGCCGACTAAATAGAAAGATTGTTCTTTAATTTGCATTCCAATTAATTATTTTTTGTATGTAACGTTTATGGTTTAGATGAAAAATTAGTACCACGAGCGAGATTCGAACCCACGACCTTCGGCTCCATACGCCGTTGCTCTAACGACTTGAACTATCGTCACTTCGATCCTCTCGGACACCACCAACCCGTCATCTCAACCTACAACCATTCGAATTTTCCAATTTCAATTATGACTACTAAGCAAATATGGTTTAAATTGTATTTTTTATTTTCTTTCTTTTGCACATAATACTGTAAAAATCCTACTCCTTCAGTACGTTTCGGTCCATCCGCAAACTTGAATATGAAATCGAAGATAGCCGGAAATTCTCTTACTACTTATTAAGGTGCATTCTTTTTGTAATCGTTTCAAACATTAACATGATTCATTCGAACAACCAACCAGATTTCACTACAAATTGCTCATTATCAACCTTTCTTAATGTAGTTAAAACAGTAATTAGCGGAAATACTTCAAACAAAAGCGGGTTGGCAGATAGAGAAAATTGTTGGTTGAACAGTTCAGGACCAAAAGGTAAATTATTGAAAACGGAAATACTCTACATTTCTTATTGTTAGCTTCCAATGAGAAAACAAACGTTTTCCTCAAACGATAAATATCGAAAGCGAGTGCAATGTCCTTCTCTTTGTTACTTTGCTTACATTTGAAAAAACAATGGCATACCTGGGTTTCCGTGACAGAGAGGAGTTTGGCCATTTCTGACCGCTCCGTGGAACTGAGGTACTTTTTAAGCTCGAACTGCCTTTCGAGCTCGAAGATCTGTCGGCCGGTGAAGGTGGTCCTGGCCTTCTTCCTCTTCCTCTCTCCTTCTTCAGAAGAACGGTCGTCGGAGCTCGGCGAGTCCTTCCGGCTTCGCTTTTTCGAGGCGGGGGCGGGTGCGCACGGCGCCGAACCGGGTAACGAGCTCACAGCCGTTCCACTCACGATCTCCGGAACTGTGTACAAAAAGGCCCTAATTTATAAATGACTCAACAAGCGTTTTATATTGAATTCAGTTTACAATTTTGGTAATTTTAAAGAGATATGTGGTAAAAGACTGCATGTAAATATAAAATCTGAAGGTCCCAGAAATTTTGCTTTTAATTATTTATATTTATTACAATCTGTGCACGATTTATTTTATGTGATTATTTAAAATGGTCATGAGCCCTGAAGGGAGTTAACAACCGACGTTTTTCTCCCGGCTTTCAATAAGGTTTAATCCTCGACTAGGATGTAGCAAGGCGATCTCCGCTTCAGTTAACTGATGAGGTTATAGGGTGGTTTCTATTGGAAAAGAATTGGATTATTCGATTCGAGCGAGAGGAGAGTTTGGAAATGTCGAAATCGTATGAAAGATATTTTCGGATCATTGTGAAGGGTGATGTAGACTCAGTAGGGAGCATCGACTATGATTCTTAGGACTTTGAATCGGAAAGATTGAATTATTTGGATGAGGAAAGGTTTAGCGGCGTCCCACAGTTATGATCGGATGTTCTAGTGTAAGATTTGAGTGTCGATAATTTGTCCCAAGCATCTATTTAACTCATGTCGCCTTAGTTGTGTGCGTTGTTCCGTACACGTCGAGGTTAGTAGGGTAACTAGTAATTTAGTTAGAGGGAACCCAGGTTTCCCATTTTTAGGTATACCCGTATCCATTCAAAATACCTACTAGTTCACTGACGGCTCCAAAACTGACAACGGCACGGAGGTGGAGTCTTCGGGATGAATCCGAAGACTGAAGTGACCGTAAACAGAGGAGGTAAATATGCTAGTTTTCCAGACTGAAATTATGGCAATTGAACACTTAGCTAAGTTAATGAGAAGGCGGGGAACAGATTCCCGGAAGATAGCCATCTTCTCTGACTCTGCCGCAGGCAAAGGTAAAGACAAGTGTTTGGAACTGCATGGACGCCCAGGTGGAGTCAGCGACACTAATAGCCTGACCCTGGCATGAGCTCCTGGGCATTCGGAGCATAGATGAAAAGGTTGACATGTAGGCCAAAGAGGGAGCTACATGGACTGTAGATCCCGAAGACTACTGTGGCCTAGCATCGTGCCACAAAAGAGGATAATGGATTAAAATGGATCCTTGGTGAGTTTAAAAACCAGCGAACGATGCCCCAGGAATGAGGCACGCGAAGAGATTTATGGACGAGCCATTCAAAGATTTACAAAGGAATTACTAGAAGGTAATTACAGCAAATTCGAGATTCTTGTTGGACTCCTGGCTCTATCACCTAAGAAGGAACATGCACCGGAGTACAAACTGAACAAACACTGTGCCAGGAAGAGGAGGAGACCGCAAAATACATTTTATGTTTTTGTGAAGGTTTCTATGGGTACAGATGGTTGCAACTAGGAGAGGAAAAGGTCCTACACTAAGGTGGTTGGTTAAAAATAATCTGATGCCTAAACGAAGCCAACAGAGGAGCACAGATCTACTCAGGTCGAGGTGCCGAGTAAGGCCATGAGGCCGCCTCTTTAATCCATATCCCTTGAGAAATATTGTATAAGAAATCTTGCTTCGAAGGGGAAATGGCACACAAATGTTCGCTCCAGTCGGCTGCTCGCAGACATCTGCCAGGAGGTTCTCCGATCGGCAAAGAATGAAAGGAGAGTGGAGGGAGAAGCAGGGAATAAAGGAGTTATTAATAAATAAATAACTAAATAAATAAATAAATAAATAATAAATAACTCCTAGTACGTTGCCCTGTGTTACTCATGTCCCCAAATGGCAATAGTCGGAGTAGGAGATCCTGGCGGACTCTGTCAGGTTCGTGTGCTGTAAGAATGAACTTTCTATGTTTTTCGCCTAAGCACGGTGAGACCGAACCCTCAAGAGTTACGTCAATTAGTGTTTTTACGGTCTTAATAAACTGATGATCTTCGTTTTAGCGGGTGAGTTAGTGGGTTTCATGTCTGAATTATGAAACATTTACTTTCACTGTAAAAACCATCAATGTGAGAAAACTGTCTCAACCATCGTCAGCTTTCATCGACGGGTATGAAAAAGTTCTTCAAGGCGACACGCCTCAAGCTAGATAAATTTGTCTCTTATTAACTGCAGCAGTAATTCAAGTATTTATCACGGATGAGACATAAGAAAGCTCTTTAGATTGATTTGCGGCCCCTTCCGGCCTGCCGTCTTTAAACGTTAATGGCATTAGATTTAGAAGGCTAAAATGAGCCGTTAAACTTTTGGCCGGGATCCACCCATTAAAGACGGCCGGCAGATGTCTTCCACCGACCAATTAAATTTTATTCCTGTCCGTTTAAAACGCAACACAGCCTAATGGGGGGTGGTTAACACTGATTTCCGACCTAATTGCCTTGCATTCGGCATCACATCAAAAGATAGGCGAACTCACATACGCGAAGTTACGATTTTCGGAGAACGAAATATTTTTACGCTTCTCGTATAATGGGTTTTCCATCGTTAAAGTTTTCTGAATTCGGCCTGAAACAATAAATGCATGTTAATTGTACTACGATTAAATTGAAATTATCGTGTAGGCTGTTTTTATTTCAGCCACATTAAAATGTTGCATCTCAAGTCTAACCTGCAACCGACATACACGAACTAAAAGACTAGAATTAACCAGAAGCTTCGGACTACTGTACAAATTATTATCATGGACAGATGTTCCCATCTTTACTCCATCATTGGTTACCCCCAGGCACCAGGGTTGAAGAGACTTTGTGATGTCCCTGTGTGAAGGGGAAGGTTCCCTGTGGTATTATCAAGGACATTACACTAATTAACAAAAAACGAACTAACGCAACCATACCGAAACCGATTTAGAAGGATGGATTAGAACTCAGACACCGCTAACCGTCCAACATCCACAGAATACAGTCTTACCAATGTAAAGTCCTCAGAACCATTGTCAATGCTCCCTACTAAGTTAGCAACTTAGCTTCTCTGACCTCCAAAAATCCTTGGTTAAAACTCTAATCCCAACAAATTTTACACATTCCATAAAAAGCTAATCTAACATCCTAACATGCAGCCCGATGCATATCCAACTTTCCATCATCCATTATCCAACCCTAGCACCCAGTAAGCTGAATGAAGCGCAGGCCTCCTTACAAAAGTACAAGACGAACTATTCAAACAGTTGAGTTGCAAATCAACTAAAATGTTATTACATAATAGTGGTATTCATGATGTTTGTAAGATGTTAACTCAAATAGAGAAATGCCCAGTGTAAGATCGTGAACGCCCCCTTCTTTTCTTAGTATGTTTAACGTTAATTTTTTCGAAATGCTGCGCGTGGCGATTGGTAGAACGAAAAATAAAGCTATAGCAGTCCTTCATGACTTGTTATTGTTGGTTTTTTTTTTTTTTTTTTTTTTTTTTGTGTGTGTTAAATTGTAAGATGCCAGAAGTTAATAAAAAAGGATAATTAATCAACTCTTTCATTCAAAATGCTATCTATGCACTCGAAAAATACTAACAAATGACATCCTTCAATTCGTGCCGATATAGATAACTTGTATCCTAACGTCTAACAGCCTACGACTTTATAGGATAAGGAATATATCTACTATGAATGAGAGTATAATGACAGGTCAGAAATTAACAAAAGAAATGTATTTGTCTGATTTAATTAATGCGTATTTCAGAATAAAAATACATGTAAACAAAAAACATCTGTTAAATTCATAGCTGCCATGTTGGTAACCTACACCCTAACGGATAGCAATGTGACATTTTCGACCCAACACCTAACATTGGCCCCTATACAACATTACTCGCCTCTCATTTGTTCCTCAGGTTGTCAAACACAGAATAGAAACAAAAAGTGCAATCCATATACATACAGCACCACAAACATAAAATTCTGGTCATATTCATACCCCCGGAGTACTTCTTCGGACAGTGTAGAACCTACTCCATTTTTCGCTAATAACTTCCTTTCACTCTGCAGACGTCACAACTCACCCCATAGTATTCGATATTCCTCGAGGCGGGGTTAAACAACCCCTTCCTTTCATTCCAGCAAAATACAATACAGGCACAGCATAAATACACATAAACAGTTTAGACATTTAAAAATCCCTATAGCCCTGAGGTACCAGGACGGCGATCTGTGCCCGCTGCTGCCCCCCAAGACTTCGCAAAGGTCCGATGTTACCGAAATATTAGGGGTATTCGCGAAGTTTGTAAGATGTTAACTCGAATAAAGGTTTTGGTTGTCTGTTGTGTTAAATTGTAAGATGCCAGAAGTTAGTAAAAAAGGAAAATTAATCTTCTTTCATTCAAAATGCTATATGTGCACTCGAAAAGTACTAACAAATGACACGCTTCAATTCGTGCCGACATGTCTAACTTGTATCCTAACGTTTAATAGCCTACAACTTTATAGGATGTGGGATGTATCTATTATGAATGAGAGTATAAGGACAAGTCAGAAATTAACAAAAGAAATATATTTGTCTGATTTAATTAATGCGTATTTTTTTTATATTTATTTTATTTATTGCTATCTGTACATAATATACATTGAGCAAATAGTTAGTTATAAACTAATCTGACAGACCTGTCAGACCAGGAGGCAGTGGGGAGAGAAACCAACTTTTATTTAATTGGGGGGGGGGAGTAAAAGTTAATTCGGTGGGTTAGATAGAAGGTCACGAGGCCATCGTCGTTTTAAACGGCGTGGAGGATTGTAAGGGTGAGATGTTGAGGAAAGAGTTAGGGCTANTGCTCTACCACCTGAAAAAATCTAGCCGAAGGTCGTGGGTTCGAATCCCTCTCGTGCCATTAACTTTTTTTCATCTCAACTAAAAACCTTAATTAATTGTCATGCATTAATTGGTCAAGAGGACCACGAAAGTAGTGAATGAATGTAATATTATATTTAAATTGTTTTATTATGCAATGGAATATTTTAAAAGGTATACCGTAAAATTTATTTTTGTTTTTTAAAATTTCAGCATATCGTCAAAAAATTAAATTGAAATTTCCTTTCCCTCGAAATAAAAAACGAGACAAACCGTTAGGGATTGTATTGTCATAGGGTGACATCGTTTCAGGTTTCAAATTAATAGTGATTGTAATAATAGATAAATAATAACATATAAATATAACATAATAGTTAACATACTTCTACGTAACAAGACAATGCTCACACTGTCGAAAATTAATATAAAGTGCAAGATGGAGTAAGTCTTCGTTCTTTTGATCTTCACACCGTTTATCAATATTCAGGCATTTTTATGCACCGATTGGCATATCTAATGGAATCATTTGTAATCCATCTATTTATTATGTGAAGAGAGATGAAAATTTGAAAGAAAGCGATGTTCTATTCGACTGAGCAGAAATAGCCGACGACAAAGGTGACCGGACACTACACAGGACGGAACAGGTGCTACTGGGGGGGAGGGTCATTCGCCCTTTTACTGTGCTACTGCCAAATCTGAAGGAAACGGCGATTTGTTTGAAGCCGCTTAACGGCTTAATCCACCAGCCATTTTTCTCTATCGCTTATCTCACTAACTGGAAAACACCTCGGAGAGCCAACGATCGCACCTCTGAGAAACCCGATAGCGCAAAAAGTTCGACTCTTGGACTCTGACTGATTTTAATGCGTTCGATCATTTTTAAACATAATTGAGAGTATCATATCAGAAAAGACTGCGAACATACAACATACATTTGCATTTATATGATTGTGTAAAACAAAACGTTGATACGTTTAAATGTGGAAGCAACATTACAATTATTTATGTTGAAATTAATTGCAGCAATGACAATATTTCTGTACTCCCTTTGCCTTGAGATCCACTACCAGGTCTCCTATTGGCAGTTCCAGTCTCTCGGAGTCGGGCTAAAGCAAGATGATGTCTTTCCATGGTTAAAGATACAACTGGATACAAACCTAGCTACTGTTTGGCGGCTAGTCTCGCGGCGTCGTTAAAGTTTAATCCATATAAACTACACAAAAATGAAGAGAGATATTTGTAATGTATTCTCATTCTAATAATTTTAATTAAATTAACCGATATATTCTTGCCAGTTCGACAAAGCAAGCTAGAAACACAAACCAAAAAAAGTTAATCCTCTTTTTCAATAACGGATTTACTTAAGAATAGTAAACATGAAGATTACTCATTTTATAAACAAACACCTTTACTCGACTTTTCTCCATTTTAATCCAGCTGTATTCTCTTTAAACATGGAAAGACATCATCTTGAACCAGAAGTTCACAATATTAGTAGTAGTAGGGAATGGGTCATCAATTTTATTGTGAGAATGGTCAGATCGTGTTCTGCCGGGCTTTAGCCCAATTCCGAGAGACTGGAAATGCTAGTAGGAGGCCTGGTAGTGGATCTCAGCGCAGTAAGACGCTAAAGCGGGGAAAACACTAATCCGATGCAACGCTATGCGACGCTACACGATGCTACCCGACGCAAATCCAAAGTCCAATTTTCCATAAGGATGTATTACCCCCACGCACATGTTCCCGATGCTGTGCAACACTACCCTACTCTACGCTCTGCAGTCCCCACCGTCCAGATTTTCGTCGGGTCGCATCGAGTACAGTCGAAGACAAAAGGACCGGACACTCATATTTTTATTCGAACTACATGTTTTAGTGTCGTTATATTAATTACAACAAACTTATTTTAATATAAACTAAATTAACCAAGATCAAAAATTCATTAGTTTTTATTTTAAAAAAATAAAATAAAATAAAATAAATAAAAACAATTTGAATGATTTGGCAGCAAACTGATCAAACACGGAAAAACCATTTTTTGATATAATGAATTTAACTAATAATTTATTACACGGTTTTGCTCATAAAATTTAACTAACAGTTATTCCACGGTTTTTCTCATACCATATTCGTCGAGTAGCTTCAGAACAGGGCACTCATACTTTTTGTAGTTTATTTCAAACTATTTATATGTAGTTTCGTCTTTAATTACAACATTCCAATTTTAGTATAAACCAAATTGAACGAGGTTAAAAATTCATGAGTTATTAAATTAAATTTAACTAACAATTTATTACATGGTTTTGCGTCAAAATAATGCTTTAAGAACCAAAGAGGCTTTGCGATTGTGACACTGATTTGTGATGCACGTTGTGTGACTGTATGTGGCGTGCGCTTGACGTCGAATAGATGTGCACACCCTTCCAAAACGTGGCAAGGCGTCGGGTAACATCGGGTAAGTGTGTTCCCGGCTTAAGGGGGGTGAGAAATATTGTCACTGCTGCAAGACGGAACTCTTCCCATAGTACCCGCCAGATCATCATCAGTATTCATCAGTGAATTACAGGATGTTTTGGCACAAAAGATTGCACATCGTGCCCCTTTGAGACGACCTGTAGCAACAGTGCGCCACTTGCAACTCACGAGAATATGGTACAGCGATCGGCTAGAAGGGTACAACAATTGAATGCTGTTATGTTTACTAATGAGTCGCGTTTCTGTTTGTGAATTCCAGTTTCTTCTGCTATCACTATATAGACAGGAACGCGGACTCATCAGCATACATAATAGTATTCCAATTTTTTTTCTGTTCTAGGCGCTTGCTGCACCATATCTCCTGAGTTACTGATATTGCAGGTTGATGCAGGTCGTCTCAAAATGGCATACGATGTGAGGCCAATATCCCACAATACGATTACGAAACGTGTCTGTTGATAAAGGCCTTGCCAAAACATCTTGTATATCATTTAGTATCTGGCGGGCATTATGGAAAGGGTTCGTCTTGCAGCAATGACAATATTTCTGTCCTCCCTTAGCATCGTAATGCGTTGAGATCCACTACCAAGCCTCCTACGGGAGGACCTTGGCTAAAGCCAGGGAGACCACGCTCTGAGAATAACTTAGTCAGGATGGTTCAAGTGGTTAGAGCAGCAGCGTATTGAGCCGAACGTCGTGGGTACGAATCCGGCTCGTGACACTAGCGTTTTAATATTAACCAAGACCTTAGATTAAAAGTACAATTAAGTTTAATGATTTAAATCCTGCATGTAGATATGACCTCGACGAAGAGTTTCTGTCGTCGTCTCTGTAATCACCTATGGTAAACACAAAAATTACGTTTCGTTGACAAATCTGTGCATTTGAGTTTTGGGAAAAGGCGCTCTCTGGGATTTTCTCTCATTCCCAAGTTCCCGATTTCACGGCTCTGCCTTCTTAATATGAAAAATGAATCCAAACGCCTCGCCCATCCATGAGACAATGGCGCGTGCATAATACGACTCTAATAATCCGTTAGTTTGACGGATTGCGGCCCGTCGGAGATGTTCAGGGCAGATAATAGCTTGGGATTAATACTCTCTTGGCAATTTAATTGGGTATTGTTACGATTGCGACATTAGCGAAACGAGGCGTTAAAGCTCCCACTCTCCACGACTCCATTTCACACTCGCCCATATACTAACGGATTATTATTTATTGACACTTTTTCGCTTTAATTTTCCAAACATTTCGAAATGTCCTGAATCAGATCTCGTCGACGCGGCCGCCAGATCGAACGCCATACAATTTCAATATTCAATCGTCAAATAGAAGAGAAGTTTATTACATTCCGGTTTAATAGTAAATAAGTCATAATATTCATAAATTAAAACATGGAATGTAAATCTAGTATTTTTTTAAAAATTAAATCATTTGTGAGATTTCTTCCTGTGGTCTGAGAGATGATAAATCTAACGTTTCAGAGTTACCTATCATCCTGGTCTGCCAGATGGTTATTGTTGGTTCAGATGCGTTGCGGCATTTCGCCATCTTCAGTGTATGAATAATATTTGTGAAATGAAGTTTAGTTATGAGGATGGTGGGGTGGGTTGCGTAGGTATTAGTAGTATTTGGAGATTAATTAATTCCAATTAGGAGATTTATTGTGGTATAATAAAGTTACCTAATAATTATAAATAATCAGATAATCTGTTGATGCCTGTGTCTAAGGACATACCCAGGTAATTTAGTCGCACCGTCCGATGGGTTCCATTCTCGGAAACATTGTTTGCGCAGCGAGTGCTGCTTGTGGTCCTCTTTACAGAAACATTTTGGTTTTACGTTTTTTTAACTGTATTAATTATGTACGTCATTCTTGGAGGGTTACTTCTAATGCAATAGAGGCTAAATTAAGGTTTAGCTTTTTCTATGTCTAAGTGTTGTGAAAACACAATTGTGACTATCGAGGCTCTTAGGTTCCGGTGGACAGAGCGTTAAGGATGATTCACGCTATACCGTGTCGGGGCCGAGCCGAGGCACGGAGAGTACACGGTCAAAGAATATTGACATTATTTTATATGCACCCATTCACGTTGTACCGAGCAGCGCCCGAGCCAGGTACGTGCTTGGAACGTGCCTCGGCCGTGCCTCGGTGAGAAAAGGGGCTGAACATTTCTCCCCGTGCCCGGGACGGTTGTCTACCCCAGTTTTATTGCGTCTTCCTCAGCGAAACGTTAAAAATGGATGACGAAATTCTTATTGAATGTGTGCGGAAGTACAGTTGCATTTACGATATGTCGCATCCAAAGTATTTGGATGCCAACCACAAAGCCACCATATGGAAGAAAATATCAGAAGATTTGCAACAGAATGGTAAGTAAAGATAATTTTTATTTCACGAACAATAGACAAAACATTCACTGCGACAAAACTGTTATTTATTTATTATTTATATTTATTTACATTTTCGTCTCTTACGGATGATGCACTATTCATAACATTTACAAAAATTTTCAACCGGTGCAGTATAATAGCTTATTGACACGAAGAAATTAGATTCATACCTAGTAATCATAGACTATTTAAGGTTCAACTCCATGAGCAGCTGTAGTCGCCAAATAATTTTTAAAGAGCTCTCTCACTGCAAAAGCATCTTCGGCTGGTCTCCCTGGTTGACTGCGCAATGGCTCAAAACATGGTTGTGGTTGTGAGTTTTGTGTCCCGTCATTATAACTGTGTGGTAAATGTACACTGTCACTACGTTCACGTAAAAAATTGTGTAGCACGCAAGTGGCTAAAATAACGTAATCCACATTCTCTGGTGCCATTTTTATTCTTCTGCAATAAATTCTAAATCGTTGTGTTAAAATGCCAAACGCATTTTCCACCAATCGCCGAGCTAATGACAATTTATTGTTGAAACTTGTTTTTCCTGTATCTTCAGCTGATTGACGCCCTGGGTACGGCCGTAGTAAGTAAGTTTTTAAGGGGAATGCTTCATCAGCAACAATTACGTACGGTGCAACGGTCGTTGTGTTAGGTAAATACTTCCCGCTGGGTATGTTTAGTGTACCATTTTCTAAGCGTTTTCCAAGAGAAGAGCGAGCAAAAATACCACCATCACTGTTTCTTCCGTAAGAACCAACGTCGACTGTAATGAATTTATATCGCGCATCCACTAACGCTAATAAGACAATGGAATGAGTATGTTTGTAGTTGAAATAAAGTGACCCGCTATTTGCGGGAGCCTCAATAGTAAAATGTTTGCCATCTAACGCGCCGATACAGTTGGGGAAATTCCATAATGCTTCGAAATCTCTTGCAACGGCTTTCCATGATTCTTCTGTTGGTTGTGGCATTACTTCATTCATAAGTTCGGTGACTATAGTTCGACACGTACTGTTTACGATTTGGCATACCGTTGAATGACCCAACCGGTAACTGTATGAAATACTTTTGAAAGAATCTCCAGTCGCCAAAAATCTGGAACACAACAAAAAACATGTACCACTAGTAACATTATAATGAATTTGAACTTGGTAATTAAATTAGTTTATATATTGTAACTTTACAAAACTACAGTAGATTTAACAACTTTAAACATTTATTACTTCTATAGTAACATTCATTGTGTATAATTTGTGTTGTTACTTATTTACGTATAATTCTGTTTAGATAATTTTTCTATTTTTTTACAGATCAAAATTGCAAAAAACGGTGGGCAAATAAAAGGGATCAATTCAAAAGAAATTTGAAAAAGCGCAACACCAAAAGTGGTCAAAGCCCTAACCTCATCAAAAAATATAAATATGAAGATGTTCTGGAATTTTTGCTGCCGCACATTAAGGAGCGTAACACAATTTCCAATATTGAAGATGACAACGAATCGGGAAATACAAACAACCAAGCGGAGATAAATGAAGAAAATGATGCCAATGACAGTATGGAACTTCCAGGCAGTTCTTCACAAAATGTGCAGCCAAACGACGTACCATTGGAACCACAACCTTCCACACCTCTTCCGTTGTCACAACCACTTGATGGTTGCCCATCATCTCTATCACGACCAGTATCAACTTCAAGACCTACTCGAAAACATCATCAAGTCCGCTACACTCGCAGAATGTCACAAGCACCACTGCAATATCCAACGGAAAGTGCATCGAATACCTTAATGAGATATATTATTGAAAAAAAAGAAAAGTCTCAAACTGACGCTCACCCTATTGACGCATTTTTCCAAGGTTTAATACCGACAATAAAAACGTTTTCTCCATACTACCAGCATTTAGCAAAAGGAAGAATTTTTTCAATAGTGCAGGATCTAGAGTACGCACAAATGCAGACATCCCCAGCAGATGAATCATCCACCAGTTCCACATCAACTGCTCCACCAATCCACCCGAATCCAAACTGGACTACAACACCCGACGCACATCCAAATCACTCGCCTGCTCTACCACAACAACCAGCAAAAAATGAGATGAGCACTTTTTTTTCTCAGTTCAATGAACATGACTATTAAAGCATTATTAAGACTATAGAATATTTGTACACGTTTCAAATACATGTGAAATTTGTAAGTATGTTACTTTTGTTTTAAATACATATTTTAAGTCGGTAATTATTATTTATTCTTATCTATTCTGATCCGGTTGTCTATATTATTATTGACTTACCTGAGACACACTGCTAGTCGCTCAGATGGCGAAATGGGCTCCTGAAAGAATGTCTTCTGTTTCGTGAGGCCACTTTTCACTTTTAGAAGTAAAACGTTGAAACACTCCCAGGACATTCGAAAATAGCCAAAGAATTTACTTTCGTCATCTAACAACTCTTTGTATAGTGTGGCAAATTCTCCCTCCAACTTTCGCTTTCGCCAAGTAGGATGCACGCCCCATCTCCTCTTTGCTGTGTGAAGTCGATCAACATGGTTTTCCCTTTCTTCTTCATCAAGTGCAACGGCAATTGCTGCTAGTTCAAGTTCTGAAAATTGCATTTTGCTTGTTACCCACTCACCAACACTCAGCCACGGTTCGCACGGAACTACTACGGAACAGCATGCATAAAGGCTCGGACTCCACTCGGACGCTATGGCTCGGTTGAGACCCGGGCTCGGCCCCGACACGGTATAGCGTGAATCATCCTTTAAGGAGTTTTGGCAGACTTACTTTATCACAGAGAATAAGGGTAGAATGGAGGTCATTATGTGGAACAAGTACCAAGATTTTTTTGGCTCCTTAATCTGATTGATTTTGATGGATTAATCCAAAGTGTCATGTTTTATCGAAAGCTTTGGTTTCCAGACCACCTCCCCGACTAGCCTAATGGAGACCCATACCGACGGAACACTTGCTCGATTTCATGAACTGTTTTTTCATTGAGCTTTAAGCATGCATTTTACCAATAGACCTAAAGCCGGGAACACACTTAAGCCAGAAACACATTTACCCGATGCTACCCGACGCAAATCCAAACTCCGATTTTCCATAAGGTTGCATTACCTCCGTGCACATCTACCCGATGCTATGCCACGCTAACCTACCCGACGCTCTGCGATCCCAACTGTCCAGATTTTCGTCGGGTCGCATCGAGTACAGTCGAAGACAAAAGATATTTTTATTCAAACTACATGTATTATTGTCGTTATATTAATTACAACATACTTATTTTAATATAAACCAAATTAACTGTGATTAAAAATTAATTAGTTTTTATTTAAAAAATTAATTTTAATGGTTTGGTAGAAAATTAATCAAAACACCGGAATACGATTTTTTGATATAATGAATTTAACTAACAATTTATTGTACTCGCTTCGGCGGTACATATACTAAAATTGGAACAATTTATTACACGGTTTTGCTCATAAAATTTAATTAACAATTTATTTCATAGTTTTGCTCGTAAAATTACACCATTTTGTAATGTCGGGTAGCATCAGAACAGGACACTCATATTTTTTGTAGTTTATTTCAAACTAAGTACATGTAATTTTGTCGTTATATTAATTAAATGTTATTTTAATGTAAACCAAATTCAACGAGATAAAAAATGCATAAGTTTTTATAAACATTGTTTAATCATGATGGTTAGGAGTAACTTTATTTAAAACAATTAAGTTTTACAAACAATTTATGAGATGGTTGTGCTCATAAAATTTAACTAACAATTTATTACAAGATTTTGCTCAAAATATTGCATTAAAAACAAAAGATGCGTTGCGATTGTGATAGTGATAAACGATGTGGACTGTACGCGATGTGAGCTTGCGTCGGATAGATGTGCACACCCCACCAAAACGTGGCAAGGCGTTGGGTAGCATCGGGTAAGTGTGTTCCTGGCTTTAACGCTACTCGACGCCTTCCCACGTTTTGGTAGGGTGTGTTCATACCAAGCGTGAAGCACACGTCACGAACAGTCACACATTGTGTACCACAAATCAGTATAACAATCGCAACGCCTCTTTTGTTTTTAATGCATTATTGAGAGCAAAACCATGTAATAAATTGTTAGTTAAATTTTATGAGCAAAACCGTGTAATAAATTGTTAGTTAAATTTTATGAACAAGACAATGTAATAAAAAATTGTAGTTAAATTTTATGAGCAAAACCGTGTAATAAATCGTTTGTTAAATTCATTATGTCAAAAAATGGTATTGCGGTGTTTTGATCAATTTTCTACCAAACCATTAAAATTAATTTTTTTAAATAAAACCATCATAATTAAATAATTTTTATAAAAACTCATGAATTTTCGATCTCGGTAAATAAAAAATATGAGTGTCCGGTTCTTTTGTCTTCGACTGTACTCGATACTCGACAGTGGGGATCGCAGAGCGTAGAGTAGGGTAGCGTTGCATCGGGTAAGTGTGTTCCCGGCTTATTTTCATTGCAAGCCAGATGGAAAATAACAAATGTAAGATAATCATGTTGATCGGTTCGACTGCATTGTAAGGAAAGGTGCTACAAACCTACTTTTTAATTATTCGGATCTGGAAGTTATGTCGGTTAATCTGTGTATATGTGTATGTTTAAACACTCTTTATTCCGTGCAACGAAGAATTTCACTTCTTCAAAAATTTCTAGAAAAAATTCTTTAAACCATTTATAAAATTTACACATCCATTATAATCATGTAGGTCTGAAGCACGACAATTTGATTCGTATTCTCCAGTAACTCCACGGTATGTGGTGGTGTCTGGTAAAGCAATTGGTTTGTAAAATTTGCAATTCTACTCGTCACATTTTCCTTTTCTTCCGGCAACTCGACTATTGAATAGGAAAAATTAATATTTTACGCCCTCTGTTAATAATTCTATTGACATAGGAAGCACATTTATCAAGAGGCGATGACATTCACCGACTAGCATTACCATACACTTACTCATGACTCACCGCGCTACCTCCGTCCGATTGTCAATTTCAATTTTGTCTGTTTCACGTCGTAATTGGAACGAGAGGTTAACAGTTAATTCTAATTTTTTATTTTTTTATTTAGGGTTCGTATTTCCTTTTTTATATTAAAATATGTAGTATATAATATATATTTCATGTTACAATTAAGGAACTAACAGAAAATGATATAGACTCAACATTTCATACATAATATTTATGTAAGGTATTGGTTGAGATAAAAAAGTCAGTGTCACGAGCGGGATTCGAACCCACGACCTTCCGCTAAATACGGTGCTGCTCTAACCACTTGAGCTATCGTCACTTCGATCCACTCGGACACCAACTCCCATCTCAACCTACAACCTTTCTAATTGTCCTCCTTTTTGCCATTTCTCACATGTCTCTATTCGATTCTCGGCGACAAATTAAATGGCCACGGAGAGCTTTAGTGAAGATATACTTGAAAAGCGGCGAAAAGGAGGGAAAATTCGAAAGGTGGGTGGAGAGGGGAGTTGGTGTCCGAGTGGATCGACTCACGTTAGCTGAAGTGGTAGAGAAGCAGCGTATTTAGCCGAAGGTCGTGGGTTTGAATCTCGCTGGTGATGCTGACTTTTTTATCTCAACCAATACCTTACATAAAGATTAATTGATTGAAAAAAGTCAATTGGTCAATCGGACCACGAACTCTAATGGATTTAATATATATACAGACAGTAGTAACAGCGACAAAAGGAGCAGGAATCGCATTCATGGTTTACATAAAGGACTAAAATATTTTCGAGGCTAAGTTAAATTAGACCACCTTCGTTCAAATAAAGTTGATGATGGGTTTTTGTATGCGGGTCAGTGAATTCATGTTGAACCGGCGCAGGGTCAATTACTGGGTCTGTGTCTACTCGCGGGTTTTTGAGTTATTCAAATGCATTTCGGCATTGCGTCGTTTTCAGTGAGGATTATTTAAAGTAATTCTTATAAAATAACAGTGTTAGCACTGATCCCAATACCGTTTATGCATGAGTTCTTTACTGAAGATGCGGCAATGCCGAAAAGCGTTTTAATAACTCAAAAACCTGCGAATAAAGACCCAGTAATTGACCCTATGCTGGTTCATAATTTGTTCAAATAATCACGCATAGCAGCTCGCAATCGTAAAGACACACCATTGGGTGAAATTACTCAGAAACTACTTTGACAACGCAAAAAGAAACTTCAGCATAATGGCCGACAGACAGTAGGAGCGTACTAAAATCAACGAAAAATTTCGGAGATAAGGAATGGCTAGTTGTATAGGCGAGTACCTTGCTTGGTATTTAGCAAAATACGGAATACTGGTGAATATTTGTTGGGTGAAAGCGCATCGAGGGTGGGAAGAAAAGGAGGCTCGCAAAGAAAGCATCAATGAACGAAGAACTTGAAATATTCTTCAACAAAATTCCAAGAACTTGCGTGAACAACCAAGTAATTTCGTCTTTGGGATCAAATTTGGCAGCAAATAGTGAAAGCTTTGCAAACTAAAAAAATGTTTCGATCAGTTCACGAACGAAGAAAATATGACACTGTTGTGCTTAAATTTAACAACTGTCCTGACTGATCTTACAGGAGCTACCTTCATCGATTCCATTTGACAGTCATCTAGTTGCACTTGTGATAACATGAAAGCGCAGGACATATCAGACATATTGTATGATGCTGTTTGTTTGAGCCAAACCGGATGAAACTGGCAAGGATGGTGGTGAGGACTGTAGAAAGATGGCCAAACATTGACAAAGTACTTCTCGAAAGATGAAAGAAAGTGTTTTGAAATTTGTAAAAGATATTGACTTTAATCTCTTACTGTAACATTTATTCTATACATTTTTATTCGTTTTCTATTATTTTTTTCTATATTAGTTCTATATTTAATTTATTAAAAGCATATATTTTTTAAATTTAAGAATCGCATATTAATAAAATTACATGAATTATTTTAAGGAGCACATAGGAAAAAAAAATATTTTCTTTATGTGCCAACGAATATCTAAAGCCTAGCCCACACTTGGACTCTAAGTTCCGCGTCATCGTTACGGGGCTGAATTTCAACACTCCTTATTCAAAGGAGATTCAGCCCCATAAGTTCCCTGGTGCCTGGAGTGTGTTGCGAGTCTACTTGATACAAGATTTTGAGTCCCATCGAAACTTGATTCAGTGATATAACGTTGCCCAAAATTGCAAATATAGACGCTTGTTCCGGGTCAGCCGGAGTGTGGTTGCCAGTTTCAGGGTAAGGGAAACTCAGTTTCAAAATTTGATGTTTTTTTTTTTAAGCGGGTAGTCACTTAACCGATGCAACGCTACCCGACGCCTTGTCTCGTTTTGGTAGGGTATGTACATCTATGCGACGCCAAGCGCACGCCACGTACACACAGCGTGTATCACAAATCAGTTTGAAATAAACGAACAAAAATATGAGTATCCAGTTCTGAAGCTACTCGACGAATATGGTATGAGAAAAACCATGGAATAACTGTTAGTTAAATTTTATGAGCAAAACCGTGTAATAAATTATTAGTTAAATTCATTATATCCAAAAATGGTTTTCCCGTGTTTGATCAATTTTCTGCCAAAACATTCAACTTGTTTTTGTATTTTTTTAAATAAAAACTAATGAATTTTTGATGTTGGTTAATTTGGTTTATATTAAAATAAGTTTGTTGTAATTAATATAACGACAATAAAACATGTAGTTCGAATAAAAATATGAGTGTCCGGTC